CTCTCTGATTGATCTTGTGGGAAGGTAGGATGGCAGGATGACTGATATCAATTTTCCATTGAAGGCCTACAATGTAATAGCTGCAGTGGTACTTACTTAAAAAATTTAGTGTTTTCTTCTCATGTGGCTGAAATGGACAGATGGTGAAAGAAAATTATTTCATTTGTCAGTTCAGGAGGTGAGCGGAATGGAAATGAAGTAAGATTTTCCCTTGCAATACTTAACCTACCAAAGAAGACTAGGGTAGAGTTCAAATTCTTCTTTCCTAGCAGCCTTAGAGACATAGGATTACATGGACTCTCACCTCCCATGTGGCAAGTGTGATATTCTCTGTGAAAAAGCTGGAAGATGTGCAAGGCATTTTTGTTCAAGCAAGTGGAAATTGTAATAAAGTATGAGCATGTCTGGCCTGAACTGTTTCACTCAATTAAAATGGCATCTAGTTGCAGCTGTTTTTCATCTCCTACAGCTCAAGGGGATTTTAAGATGCCATGTCTTGCTTATAGTGATCTTCTTGAGGGTTTTAGTACTTAAAGCTTCCTACAGAAGTATTGGAGAGATTTGTTGTGCCAAAAGCAAAAAAACTTTCAGTGGGATTAATTAAGTCCCTAGTACTGAATGAATGCCGTACTTTCTTTAAAAATTTGAACAACTGGAAGATTCTTGTAATGCAGGCTTTAAAATGTAGGAGTTTTATTTTCTTTTAAGATTTTCATTTAAAATCAGGTGATACCAGTTGCAATGTTAGCTCCCAAAAATCAGAGCTTCAAAAACTTGATCAGCCCTATAAGAAAGGTACTTGAACTAAATCTATACAAAGGAAAAGCATCCACAGGTCAAGAATTATAGGTTGGCTTTTTAAATCTCTTATCTTCCCATGTCAACAGGAATATAATATTTCTAATTCAGCTTCCAGAACATAGTACAGGCTTATTCATTTCAGTGAGACAGAATTGTCCTCATCCCAAGCATTCTATCGTAACCTCCAGCATTGCCATTTTGCTGGTTTCAAGATCAAGCTGTTTTAACAGTTTGCTAGAGTTAATACAGGGATGTGCACTAGCACCAAAATTTGAATTTGGATTAAAACCCGTTGGATGAGGAATTCGGAATTTTAAAAATTCTGAATTTCTGGATGTCCAGAAATATGTTTTCCTACAGATCCAGGTTCCAGGCATGAGCGCCGTGGACTGAAAATGGCCCCTGCCTGAAAGAACTCTCTCTCACTAGGTACACTAGCTGATGGGCAAGACTGCGATCCCACTGCCACCATGGCCAGACCTCACCAAACAGACTCCTTCTCAGTCCTGGAAGACAAGGGATCAGTCTCCAGTACTCTCTCAAGCAGGTAGAAAATGGAGTTCCATTGAGTTGTCAAGTGATGGACTTGCAAGCCAATTTTTTCTTGCCTCTACTGCAACAGCTCACTACCCCAGACATTGTGGTGGAAATGCCCTTCCACCATTCTGGCCCACTCCATTATATAAAGCAGTGGTTCTTAATCTTTGTTACTCAGATGTTTTTGAACTGCAACTCCCAGAAACCCCAGCCAGCACAGTTGGTGGTGAAGGCTTCTGGGAGTTGCAGTCCAAAACTCCTGAGTAACCCAAGGTTAAGAACCAGTGATATAAAGTATGGGGGTGTCTTCTGTACCCTGCAATGAGAAGAGAGCAACAACGTTCTTTTCTTTTATGTGACCTGAATACCAGCTGGTGGTGGATTACGGCTGTGGGCAGATTCTAAAACTGAGCTTTAAGACAAGTCAAAAGACAAGAAAAATATATATCCTTAGCCCTAATCTTTTTGTGCTTCTAGGAGGATTGTTTCCATTTTTTAAAATAAACGATGCAGCACATCTGTACTGCCCTAGTACAGTCTTTTAAAAAATTCACTTCCTCTGCAGAGGAAATGTTTGATCAGCCAATATTGTTTTCTTAAGTCATTTCATGATATGGGAAAATCCCAGCAGGAGAAGCCTTGATAGCCCCAGGCTTGCTTTGGTTTGTTTCCAGGAATCTCACACACTCGGGGGGGGGGCAGATTGATCCTACCCACACGGTCCTGAGGGGGGCCCAGAAAGGTGTGGGTAGGCATGCTGTGGGGATGGACTGGTGATTATGTCATATGATCACAAGGAAAAGGAGAGAACCAGCTTTCCCAGAGCAGACCAAACAGCAGACTAACTGCTCATCTGATTGCACCCTGAGTTTGCCAAAATCATTAATGCTTCATGAATAAAAGACCCATGCCTGAAGCTCATAAATACAAGAGTCGGACACAGTATCAAACATGCTAAAAATGCAACAATCTTCACTAATGGCTCAGCTGAATTCTGTTAATGCTCATCCTATGAAAGCCTACAAGAGCATGGTGAAATCAAAAAGGCCATATCCCCTCATTGATTAAAGCCTCCTTCCTGAAAAATCAAAGAGAGTCACTATTTATGAAGAGACAGGAAAAAAATCAGGAAATTATAGAGGGAAGAGTGAGCATGAATGTGGAAATTATACAGACATGAAATTTTTGTGCCAGTTGTGAAACCTGTACTTCCACTAGCTCCAATAATATGCAACTCTTCAGGGGATATATCTTCAACGTTTTCTCAACTCTCAACTTCCTCTTGTTTTTCTGTTCAGTCAGAAACCTGTGGAGGAGCACAAATTAATGTTTAAATAAGGAGATAAATTCCCTGCTGAGATGTTTGCTGGATGTCTTACTGGGCCGGGCTGAGAAAGCTATGCAAAATACGGATTGAGTGACAAATCTCTGTTTTCCTTAAAATATATATCAGGAATCACAACTGCAGCAAAAACTTTCCTCTAAAGAGAATCAAACATACAAAAGCCTAGATTTCTTCTTATGCTAGATAGGGCAGGAGGTAAACATCAGGTACTGGAGTTGCAGACAAAGCTTTGTTGTTTAAATAGGAAAACATTGATAAGAATGGTTTACTGCTGGTTAGGTGTGCAAGTGATTGCCATCTGCATTTCATTTTTTCAGGCAGTGGGTTTCATCTATTAACGCTGCTTTACTGCATGATAAAAAAATGATCTGAGGTTGTCTGAACCAATTGTTGAGGCTCATATCAAAGTCATATATGATTTGTAGTAGTTGTTTAGTCGTTAGGTTTTGTCCAACTCTTTGTGACCCCATGGACCCAAGCAGGCCAGGCCCTCCTGTCTTCAACTGCCTCCCAGAGTTTGATCAAATTCATGTTGGTAGCTTTGATGAGACTGTCCAATTATCTCATCCTCTTTCGTCCCCTTCTCGTCTTGCCTTCACACTTTCCCAACATCAGGGTCTTTTCCAGGGAGTCTTCTCTTCTTCTTTTCCTGAACAGGAGGCTGAGGCAGGAAGTAAACTCTGTTTGGGGGCACATTTTATTTATTTGGGGAGGTGTTTTTTTCTAAGCTGACCTTTGCTCTCCCTGACCACATGGTCTGAGGGGGCGGGAGTTTAGTTTTAAATGAGCGTGAGCAGAACTGCGCGCCTAATGGTGAGCAAATTTTTCTGATTCTATTTTTGTCTCTAATCTGGTAAATAGGATAGCCAAATAGCATTGCATACACCTGGGGGGCAGGAATGTTCAGATCATACTTCCACACTATTAAGGAGCAGGCTGGGTAGGTGGGGCTCTGTCTCTCTCCATAATTCAGCACATGTTACCAATTTGGTCTCTAGTTCCTCTGCCCCTTCGAAATCCAGCTTGTACTTCTGGGAGTTCTCGGTCCACATACTGCTGAAGCCTACCTTGTAGGATTTTGAGCATAACCTTGCTAGCGTGTGAAATGAGTGAAATTGTACAGTAGTTGGAGCATTCTTTGGCACTGCCCTTCTTTGGGATTGGGATGTAGACTGATCTTTTCCAATACTCTGGCCACTGCTGAGTTTTCCAAACTTGCTGGCATATTGAGTGTAGCACCTTAACAGCATCATCTTTTAAGATTTTAAAATATATTATAGCAGGGCATAAATATGAGTTTACAATACTGTCATTTTAGGGTATGTTCATGTGACCTAATCCAGGTCACCTTCAGCCTCTTTATCATATAAATACAGGTTAGTAGAAGTAGTTCAGTAAAGCAAGCTGAAGTTGCTTCCAGGGAGACATCTCCGGGGGTTGTGCAACTAATCCATCTTTAATTATTTGCCTTTTTCAAAAATAGAAAAACAAGACAGAAGTGTTAGGGAAAAAATGGGACAATTGTAAGGGGTGGAAGATACCATCTGGATATCTTCCTCAATTTCAAAGAACGAGGCAAGGTGATTGTACAGTAAAATCCTGATTCCAGAAACTGAAAGCAGGTTTTCTAAGGTAGGAAAAGGATCAAGAAAACTGTCCCAATCAGACTACTGAAGCAACTATTTTCAGAGAGGGTTAGGCAATCAGACAAAAAACAAAAGAAAACAAAGCAGGTCAGATCAGGTCAGATTTCTCACAGAACGAAATTACTACTAAAGAATATAGTGGCAATGCTAACCTCGTCACACTGAGAAACCCAGGCAAAGACCAAAATTCCTTTGGTGTCACCTGGCTTCTCCCTCCTTATTAGAGGGCTTTCGGGATGCATCCAGAGTTGTGAACTGAACTCTCTACATTATCAGTTTCTGGTGTGACCACAGAGAGTGTCTCATCTTGCAGTGCCAATATAAGATACAGTACCTTCCTTGCAATGAGATCCTAAATGACTCTTGTCATCACACCTACTCATTTCTTCAAGACTCCAAAGATTATATCCCTTAAGTTGCATGTTTTGATGAAGCGGAGTGATCGTTTTCTATCACTGTCCCAATACAAATCTGGAATTAATCTCATATTAGGAACAGTTTAACAGAGATTGAACATGTGTCAAAGTAACAGCCAAATGGCCACAAAGGCTGTTTTGAGGCATCTCTGCTTTAACTTGATTTACATTACCTCCCTATCTAAAACATGTAAGCTGCATTCTTTCAACATTTAAGGTGTAAATTTAACTGTTGTTTTATTGTTATTCATACAGATTAAAGAATGGCTTTGTCTAAACTGCCAGATGCAAAGAGCTTTAGGAGGTGACTTAGCTCCAGCCCATGGCCCTGGACCACAGCCTTCTGCATCCAAACAAAAGACGCCTCCTCCAGCCTCAGTAGCCAAACCACCTCCACAGCTACAACAACCAACACAGAAGAAAGATGTTCCTCCAAAACCTGATGTCACCCAATCACCCGAACACAAAAAGCCACCAACACAGACAAAAGAGCCTATCCTGCCTGGTTCTCCTGTGAAATCAAAGCCTTCCACTGCTGAATCTCAGGATTTCACAAAATCTGACCAGGCCAAGCCAACATTGAGTGAAGATAAGAAAATGCCGCCCACAAGTCAGAAAACCATAAGTGACGCTGTGCCTACCCCTTCACCATCAGACCCCAAAAAAGATTCATCTGGGCCCAAACCTGTACTGGCTGAACAGAAGGATGCACCTCCTCAAAAACAAGAGCCTGCCAAGCCATCTCGAGACACACCACTGCCTGTTGATAAAACTGCTCCTTCAGATTCAAAAACTTCACCTCAGGTGTCTCGGCAGAAGTCTGATCCCAAACTTGTTTCTCAGCCTGGACCTGGAGTGGATGCTAAGGCTCAAAAGCAAGCAGAAACAATGGAAGGGAAAGACCTTAAAAGACCCCAGATGAGTCCTAAACCAGATGCCAAGCTAGCTCCCAAAGCACAACAAGCCACGGTGGGCCCCAAACCTACTCAAGCCCAGCTCCAGCAACCTCAGAAAACCCCTGAGCAATCTAGGCGATTTAGCCTTAATATAGGTGGCACCAGTGAGCCCCCTAAACCGCAGCCAACTACCCCCCAAGAAACTGTAACTGGGAAGCTCTTTGGATTTGGTGCATCCATTTTTAGTCAAGCTTCTAATTTAATCTCCACAGGCCAGCAAGGAGCCCAGCCGCAGGGGCCTCCCTCGGGATCTCCTGCAAAGCCACCCGCTTCTCCAGCACAGCCCTCTGGTCCTGCAAAAGACATCCACCCAGCCCAAGCACCTTCCAAAACCACGGCTGTGAGGAAAGAGACAAAGCCTCCAGGGACAGAAAAAGCGGAGCCACCCAAAGCTGAAGGTGCTTTCCCTGTTAAAGAGAAAGGATCTGAGAAGAAGCCTTTGCCTGCCAAAGATACGAAACCCCCAGCTGTTGAAGCTAAACAAAGTGGTGGGCCACCTGAGATGGTTCAGCCTTCATTGCCCACGTCTACTTGTCCTCTCTGTAAAATTGAACTCAATGTTGGCTCTAAGGACCCTCCCAACTATAATACATGTACAGAATGCAAGAACATAGTATGCAATCTCTGTGGATTTAACCCGATGCCACACATAACAGAGGTAGGCAACATTTTCTTTTGCATTATATTTCATGAATCACTCTGTTGTAAATGATGAAACCCAAATGGAGACTTCATTGGCTCTTTAAGGCTGCAATCCTTACTTGGCAATAAGCCCCACTGAACTTGGTGGGACTTATTTCTGATTGGGCAAGCATACAACTGCATTTTACGTTAAAGAGTTTGGTAGACACTGACATATTTTGTTATGATCTGCAGCTTTATGTGCTTTTGATAAATTAGACTCAGCAGTAATTTAACCATGAATTTCGAGCACTTGTGATTGTGTAGTGGCAGATGAAAGCAAGCTAGAGTCACCAGTAATTTGCTGCTCTTGGGCAAAGAAATGAAGAGTATTTTCAGTAACTCACTTGATAGATGTTTGCAATTTGTTGTTTACTTGTCTGACATTTCTCCAGTGAGTATAGTGGTTTACAAAGTGACCTGTGTGTGCACAGAAGTAAATGCAGACTTTTCCAGTATTTTCTCCTTCATGTTAATTATCTGTATTTGGGAAATGTTACAGATAGTGAGCAAAAACACTGGCTTGCAACAAAATGAGGTGTCTCGTTTGCTGAGGAAGCATTCCTTCATTTTCCGTGCATATTCTTTGAATTCAAATCAAAAATGGACCAACAGTTTTGGGTATTTGTTAAAGCGAACCATAACATTTTAACAAACTAACCATTCTTGAAAGAGCTCCTTGTGTCTACCACTATATCACCATTGTGATTTTGTTTCCACAGCTAATTGTAATTGTTCTGGTTTTACCTAATGGAGTTACTTGAATCTGGGTGTTAGGTAGCTGAATTTTTCTGTTCTCACTTACCTGGGCTTGTTTTCCAGCATTTAAGTTGTTCCTTTGGTTCAATCTGGTTTGGGAGAATTTGTGAAAGATGTCATTCTACTAAACTCCATTTGTGCAAAGATGGGCAATCCCTCACTTAAGATCACATGCTATGAACTGCAGAGGATATAGGGCATGGCAATCAGTTGATTAAGAGTCACTGTAGACATTACCTGGAAGAAAAGGAAAGGAAACATCAGCTGATTTCCTCTTGACTTATTTGTATATACTGTACCTAAGGCTGGCACATGAAAGAGAACAGAGATGATCATGTCCATTTCTTGACAGGCATGATGTAAAATTAATGAATCTTTGTAATACAATGCTGATTTACATGATAGCTGTGAGAGTCTTGTGTTTAACACCTTCTGCAAAGTTGCTTGACTGAACAATTTGGTGCATATCTACTTTAATGCCAGGATGTCTGAAAAGTAAACAGAGGATGATTAAATAAAGGAAACTAGATAGAATATGAAGATCCTATAAGGATGTCTGCACTCTGAGGGATTATCATGGGTGTTAGCCAGTGTTCTTATCCGATGATTTATTCACTGGGGAGGAGGAGTGTTTACCAAGGCTTTAATTAGACTTCCTGTGGACCTGTAGTTCAGGTAGTTCTATTTTTAGAACCACAGTACTAGGAAATACAGGAGCTGCAGAAATAAATAAAAGAAGTGTCACTGACCATTGTGTACAGCATCTGACAGCAAAGAGGCACTGAACAGGATGCATATTGTGTGATTTAGAAGTTGAATAATTTTAGCATTGGATTGGAAAAAGCTGCTTCCCTAAGTAGGAGGGAGATAATATATGGCTTTTTAAAGAGAGGGTATGTCATAAAAATGAAGGGGAAAGAACCGTAGAAAAACTAACTAGACTTTGTTTAGTGAGAATTAGAGATGGGCACAAATCACACTTCAGTGGTTTGGCCCGGCTTGGTGTGGTGCCTACACAGGTGGGTCCACGCTTCCCTCCCTCACCTCCTTTGGACATTTGCCCACTCACAGGTGGAAGGATGTTCACCCTCTCCATGTCCCCCTCCAGGCGGCCAGCCACTTACTGGCAGCACCATACGCTTTGCTCCTCCATCTCTTCTAGCAGCTACCTATTCAGAGGCAGAACCCTGGGCTTCCCTCCTTGACTAATAAAAGCTCTTAGACTTCCTCCAGGGGAGGGAAGCACATGGTGCCCATGGGATACCCCTGCAGGTGCCATGCCAAACTAGTCCAAACCACCAAAGCATGTTCATGCCCATCTCTAATAAGATATTTAATTGTGTTTTTTTTTAATTGAAAATTTGAAAATACATGGGTTTGTGTGCTGTGTGCATTCAGACAGATATAATTTAAAGAACAAAAAAGAAGTCTGGAGTGATGTTCATTTTTATAAGCAAATGCAAGGATTACACTTTTGTTTAGATAACTGTTTCTTTGACCAGACCTTTATATGTTATGAGATCAAAGGAACTATGGCAAAAAGAAAGTATGAAATGATACATTTATATTATTTTCACATAAAGTCAGGCATATGTGTTGTCTTCTGATAAATGTTTAAAAACAAACTGAAATGGGGTCTGTGAGAATTTTCTGAGGCCACCATGAGGTGAAGCAAAGAGCCCAGAGACATTAATGCGATGGAGCAGCTCATACGTAGATCCCGTGTGTTAAATTTGGCCCTGATGTATCACAACAGGGAGGATGGACAGGAACAGTGGACAGAAAAGCAGACTTCACTGCACTATAAAAAGGCACCAGAAAGGGTGTACTCTTTGCCCATTTAGTTCCTACTCACTCTTATCTCAGTAATGACCTTAGGAAGACAGTGGAGAAACAAGGGGGAAAGTAAAAATATTTTCCACTTCCTTTTTCCAACTGCCATTGTCCACTGTTGTAGTTATCACTACCCTCACTTGAACCCCTTTGGTCCTGCCTTCACCATTCAATTGTGCATTTCCCTATTCGTAAAAATGAGGTCTTCACAGAGAACTAGTGCATAAATACCATCATGGGCCTGAACAAAGTTCAGGTTGAAAGTTATCCAAAAGGGCAAAGGAAAGGGCTTCATTATCTGAAGCAGAACAATTGGAGAAACAAAGGAAAGTATGGTAGGACCTGCATAACCACAGAATCAGCCTGTGGTTTCACTTATCCACAGTCTGAAAGTAGTAATAATATTAATAGGAAAAAAATAGTAAATACAGTGTATTTGTATGCTGTATTTACCAGAACTGGCCACAAGTCCTGGTAAATACAGAACATATGTATTCTTGTTGGTGAAAAATACATTAAATGGTGTGTTGTTCCCTTTAGTGTCCAGTTCTGGTAATACATGATGAAAATATATATTTCAGTTTTTTTTTCTTTTACCATGCTATGTATAGTGTTCACTATTATCTGCAGTTTTCAGCTGTGGGGATGCTTGAAACCAATCTCCCAGAGATACAGGGGTCCTACTGTACTTCTTTATTCATTATGCATTATCAAATTATGAAATGTCCTTCCAGAAAACACGATTCAAATCCAGTGGGCAGTTCTTCACAAAGATAAAAATGAGGTAGCTGTGACCATGTTGATTCTTTTGTAATTCTCAGTGATTTTCATGAATGTCAGCTGATCTGCACACCCTTTATTTGGTCGCAAAGTAAGCTGGGGGTTCCTCAAGAGCCATATAAGGAATTATCACCATGCAGTCTTTTTTTCGAACATTAGAATTTTTGTGGATGGTCTGCACTATAGAAATGTTTGGACATTACAGGCTATTGATCTGGGCAAAGGCATGTAAAAGGTTCATAGGCAGGTCATATATTTTTATTGTATTCAAAGTTGTATAAAAGATTAATTTCCTGAATGGAATGAGCTAAATGTTTATGATAGAAAAAAGTCTTCACTTCCATTTCTAGTCAGTTGTAACATTCTTATTCAGATATAGTAAGCACTTTTAAATGAGAAAAAAGGTTATTGATTAAAGTTGTGATTTTATTGGAATTATTATTTGATTTGATTTAAATGATATTAACTATCTTGAGGCTATTTTCTAAGGGAAAGGAAAGATAAAAATGTAAATAAGTATATTCTTCAAGTACCTCCCTCAGGTCGGAAGGCATCCATCACGCTACTGAGGAAGAGTGGAAGACAAGTTCAAGTAGCTCCAGAGCTAATGAAGTGGTTGCGCCAAAGCTAAAAGGATGCTCAGCTCCAGACGCACCTGGAAGTGAAAGGAGAGTCCGATGCTGCAAAGAAAAATATTGCAAAGGAAACAGGAATGTAAGATCTTGGTAAGCTGGGTGTGGTCAAACAGAAGATGGCAAGAATAAACAAAATATTGAGTTTGATCCCATCGCCATCCTATTTCTGTTTGTTACCCCTCAGCACCACCCGACCACAAAGATCTAAGTGCACATGGATGGAAAAATTGAGACTTTTTCAGTGTGCCTGCTGAGATCTTTGTGGGGAGCAGTCAGGAAAGGATAAGGAAAGGAAAGCTAAAACATCTCTTCCAACTCTTTCGTCTCCCTGAGGTTGCAAGATGATGCTTCTTCTTCACCACAGTCATGGGCAAACAGAAATCTCAACAGGGAGATTGTTAGGAGTTGGTAAAAGTGTCCTTCTTTCCTATCCCCCACCAGTCCTGAAGGAGGTAGCTAGCTATCCCACTATTGCTAAGAGAAACACCAGAAGCATGCTTCTCCCGCCATCCAGCTAGCCGGTGGGAAAAGTGAGTGGGACTCTTTGGCTTCACTAGCTGCAAAGGTATCATCCAAAGGCTACATGTGATTTGTGGATTGAAAGCCTCTGGCCTAGATGGACTATTTCTCTGATTAGCAGAGAAATACTTGTGTTCTAAGAGAGCAAAGTGAAATATGAATCAGAGTCCAGGGCTTTAAACTGGCTTTTGATTTCAAATAAATGTTATGGAGCTTTTAGAGTTACTGTATTTTATTTGTTCTTATTCCTGCTATTTGCTGTTCTTGTCTCCTTTGCCCTTCACAACCTCACATTGGTACATGTGAGTCAGTGTTGTTTGTGCAGATAGTAAGGCAGATAGCCAATGCTACAGATGGCTTTTGTTAGTCTGGTAATAGGCTATTGATAGTCTAAATGCTAAAGGATAATTCTTGAGGTAGGTGTGGATGATGAATCTGCTTGACAATCCTT